GTCTGGGGCCGGCGCTGCGAGGCGAGGGTGAAGGCCTCCTTCGCGCCATTATCGACGCCAATAAGGTGAGCGTTTCTTTAACATATTCTGTGAACCAGGCGAACACTCAGGTCAGATGATGGCACGCATAGTGTGTGGACATCCGGCTGCGGGAGTGTGGCTGAGGATGTGCCAGGGTGCCGGAGGATGTGCCAGGGTGCCGGAGGATGTGCCAGGGTGCCGGAGGATGTGCCAGGGGGCCAATATGGTGATCTCTGTCACACAATATTCACAATTAGAAACCATTAGGATAACTTTGATTTCTTTTAAATTGTAATTATTTTGAAGGTATATGATTTATTTCATATGTATGCAAATATGTATTTTAAGGCGCGAGAGTGTGGTTGGTTGACAGGTGACATTAAGGCTAGTTGTGGTTGGTTGACAGGTGACATTAAGGCTAGTTGTGGTTGGTTGACAGGTGACATTAAGGCTAGTTGTGGTTGGTTGACAGGTGACATTAAGGCTAGTTGTGGTTGGTTGACAGATGACATTAAGGCTAGTTGTGGTTGGTTGACAGGTGACATTAAGGCTAGTTGTGGTTGGTTGACAGGTGACATTAAGGCTAGTTGTGGTTGGTTGACAGGTGACATTAAGGCTAGTTGTGGTTGGTTGACAGGTGACATTAAGGCTAGTTGTGGTTGGTTGACAGATGACATTAAGGCTAGTTGTGGTTGGTTGACAGGTGACATTAAGGCTAGTTGTGGTTGGTTGACAGGTGACATTAAGGCTAGTTGTGGTTGGTTGACAGGTGACATTAAGGCTAGTTGTGGTTGGTTGACAGGTGACATTAAGGCTAGTTGTGGTTGGTTGACAGGTGACATTAAGGCTAGTTGTGGTTGGTTGACAGGTGACATTAAGGCTAGTTGTGGTTGGTTGACAGGTGACATTAAGGCTAGTTGTGGTTGGTTGACAGGTGACATTAAGGCTAGTTGTGGTTGGTTGACAGGTGACATTAAGGCTAGTTGTGGTTGGTTGACAGGTGACATTAAGGCTAGTTGTGGTTGGTTGACAGGTAACATTAAGGCTAGTTGTGGTTGGTTGACAGGTGACATTAAGGCTAATTGTGGTTGGTTGACAGGTGACATTAAGGCTAGTTGTGGTTGGTTGACAGGTGACATTAAGGCTAGTTGTGGTTGGTTGACAGGTGACATTAAGGCTAGTTGTGGTTGGTTGACAGATGACATTAAGGCTAGTTGTGGTTGGTTGACAGGTGACATTAAGGCTAGTTGTGGTTGGTTGACAGGTGACATTAAGGCTAGTTGTGGTTGGTTGACAGGTGACATTAAGGCTAGTTGTGGTTGGTTGACAGGTGACATTAAGGCTAGTTGTGGTTGGTTGACAGGTGACATTAAGGCTAGTTGTGGTTGGTTGACAGATGACATTAAGGCTAGTTGTGGTTGGTTGACAGGTGACATTAAGGCTAGTTGTGGTTGGTTGACAGGTGACATTAAGGCTAGTTGTGGTTGGTTGACAGGTGACATTAAGGCTAGTTGTGGTTGGTTGACAGGTGACATTAAGGCTAGTTGTGGTTGGTTGACAGGTGACATTAAGGCTAGTTGTGGTTGGTTGACAGGTGACATTAAGGCTAGTTGTGGTTGGTTGACAGGTGACATTAAGGCTAGTTGTGGTTGGTTGACAGGTGACATTAAGGCTAGTTGTGGTTGGTTGACAGGTGACATTTAGGCTAGTTGTGGTTGGTTGACAGGTGACATTAAGGCTAGTTGTGGTTGGTTGACAGGTAACATTAAGGCTAGTTGTGGTTGGTTGACAGGTGACATTAAGGCTAATTGTGGTTGGTTGACAGGTGACATTAAGGCTAGTTGTGGTTGGTTGACAGGTGACATTAAGGCTAGTTGTGGTTGGTTGACAGGTGACATTAAGGCTAGTTGTGGTTGGTTGACAGGTGACATTAAGGCTAGTTGTGGTTGGTTGACAGGTGACATTAAGGCTAGTTGTGGTTGGTTGACAGGTGACATTAAGGCTAGTTGTGGTTGGTTGACAGGTAACATTAAGGCTAGTTGTGGTTGGTTGACAGGTGACATTAAGGCTAATTGTGGTTGGTTGACAGGTGACATTAAGGGTAGTTGTGGTTGGTTGACAGGTGACATTAAGGCTAGTTGTGGTTGGTTGACAGGTGACATTAAGGCTAGTTGTGGTTGGTTGACAGGTGACATTAAGGCTAGTTGTGGTTGGTGTTATAGACACTGTAGACATACTGGTGTATGGACACTGTAGACATACTGGTGTTATAGTCACTGTAGACATACTGGTGTTATGGACACTGTAGACATACTGGTGTTATATTCACTGTAGACATACTGGTGTATGGACACTGTAGACATACTGGTGTATGGACACTGTAGACATACTGGTGTATGGACACTGTAGACATACTGGTGTATGGACACTGTAGACATACTGGTGTATGGACACTGTAGACATACTGGTGTATGGACACTGTACTGGTGTAGACATACTGGTGTTATAGACACTGTAGACATACTGGTGTTATAGACACTGTAGACATACTGGTGTATGGACACTGTAGACATACTGGTGTTATAGACACTGTAGACATACTGGTGTTATAGACACTGTAGACATACTGGTGTATGGACACTGTAGACATACTGGTGTTATAGACACTGTAGACATACTGGTGTATGGACACTGTAGACATACTGGTGTCATAGACACTGTAGACATACTGGTGTTATAGACACTGTAGACATACTGGTGTTATAGACACTGTAGACATACTGGTGTTATAGACACTGTAGACATACTGGTGTTATAGACACTGTAGACATACTGGTGTTATAGACACTGTAGACATACTGGTGTTATAGACTCTGTAGACATACTGGTGTTATAGACACTGTAGACATACTGGTGTTATAGACACTGTAGACATACTGGTGTATGGACACTGTAGACATACTGGTGTTATAGACACTGTAGACATACTGGTGTATGGACACTGTAGACATACTGGTGTTATAGACACTGTAGACATACTGGTGTATGGACACTGTAGACATACTGGTGTATGGACACTGTAGACATACTGGTGTTATAGACACTGTAGACATACTGGTGTATGGACACTGTAGACATACTGGTGTTATAGACACTGTAGACATACTGGTGTATGGACACTGTAGACATACTGGTGTTATAGACACTGTAGACATACTGGTGTATGGACACTGTAGACATACTGGTGTATGGACACTGTAGACATACTGGTGTATGGACACTGTAGACATACTGGTGTATGGACACTGTAGACATACTGGTGTATGGACACTGTAGATATACTGGTGTTATAGACACTGTAGACATACTGGTGTTATAGACACTGTAGACATACTGGTGTATGGACACTGGAGACATACTGGTGTTATAGACACTGTAGACATACTGGTGTATGGACACTGTAGACATACTGGTGTTTTAGACACTACACATACTGGTGTTATAGACACTGTAGACATACTGGTGTATGGACACTGTAGACATACTGGTGTTATAGTCACTGTAGACATACTGGTGTCATAGACACTGTAGACATACTGGTGTTATGGACACTGTAGACATACTGGTGTTATGGACACTGTAGACATACTGGTGTATGGACACTGTAGACATACTGGTGTATGGACACTGTAGACATACTGGTGTATGGACACTGTAGACATACTGGTGTATGGACACTGTAGACATACTGGTGTTATAGACACTGTAGACATACTGGTGTTATAGACACTGTAGACATACTGGTGTATGGACACTGTAGACATACTGGTGTTATAGACACTGTAGACATACTGGTGTTATAGACACTGTAGACATACTGGTGTTATAGACACTGTAGACATACTGGTGTATGGACACTGGAGACATACTGGTGTTATAGACACTGTAGACATACTGGTGTATGGACACTGTAGACATACTGGTGTTATAGACACTGTAGACATACTGGTGTTATAGACACTGTAGACATACTGGTGTATGGACACTGTAGACATACTGGTGTTATAGTCACTGTAGACATACTGGTGTATGGACACTGTAGACATACTGGTGTTATGGACACTGTAGACATACTGGTGTTATGGACACTGTAGACATACTGGTGTTATAGACACTGTAGACATACTGGTGTTATGGACACTGTAGACATACTGGTGTATGGACACTGTAGACATACTGGAGTATGGACACTGTAGACATACTGGTGTATGGACACTGTAGACATACTGGTGTATGGACACTGTAGACATACTGGTGTATGGACACTGTAGACATACTGGTGTATGGACACTGTAGACATACTGGTGTTATAGACACTGTAGACATACTGGTGTATGGACACTGAGACATACTGGTGTTATGGACACTGTAGACATACTGGTGTTATATTCACTGTAGACATACTGGTGTATGGACACTGTAGACATACTGGTGTATGGACACTGTAGACATACTGGTGTATGGACACTGTAGACATACTGGTGTATGGACACTGTAGACATACTGGTGTATGGACACTGTAGACATACTGGTGTATGGACACTGTAGACATACTGGTGTTATAGACACTGTAGACATACTGGTGTTATAGACACTGTAGACATACTGGTGTATGGACACTGTAGACATACTGGTGTTATAGACACTGTAGACATACTGGTGTTATAGACACTGTAGACATACTGGTGTATGGACACTGTAGACATACTGGTGTTATAGACACTGTAGACATACTGGTGTATGGACACTGTAGACATACTGGTGTCATAGACACTGTAGACATACTGGTGTTATAGACACTGTAGACATACTGGTGTTATAGACACTGTAGACATACTGGTGTTATAGACACTGTAGACATACTGGTGTTATAGACACTGTAGACATACTGGTGTTATAGACACTGTAGACATACTGGTGTTATAGACACTGTAGACATACTGGTGTTATAGACACTGTAGACATACTGGTGTTATAGACACTG